TTGCAGGGTAATTTACCAGTAAAAATGCGACCAAAAAATAGATTCAATGGTCCGCGTCGACCATTGACCTATTGAAAATCTGTTGGTCCTGCCCTGATTATTTGCATGGCCCGCGCGACCAGCGGACCATGCGCTTATTTCGACCCCATGCCAATGTGTTCAGAATAGCTTAGAATGCACCAAATTGCACCATTTTTTCAAAAAATTTGCGGGGGAGCATGCCCCCAGCCCCCCCCCCTAGGTTGGGCGATCTCCTCCGGAGCTTGCTTTGCTAGGTCCTCAAGACGCGCAAACACACCTTTGAATCCATTATGCGAGTTTTTCCCCCAAACTGGTTATTACCTCCGTTGTCTAATTTTCCCCCCGAAGAAACCCTGATATATATATATATATATCAGGGTTCTTCGGGGGGAAAATTAGACAACGAAGGTAATAACCATAGGTATATAATATATATACATAGGTTCATGGTAATAGTGGTGACACTGATAGTCATAGAGCAGCGTACTGTACTACACTAGGCCTACATACCAAGTTCTCCCTACGTTGCACAAACCGGGGGCGGCCCGCCCATTTTGGGATACTCCCCCTGCTTTCAATCGTTGCGCCCGTTTAAATTACCTCCGCCGCCGATTAAATTCACCCAAAATAAAAGTTGACCAGCGCCAGGAATCGATCGGCAAGAATTCCCATTCGACCAGGAACGCCGGACGCTGTATTTTTACCGTACCACGCATCACTGCAGACCACACAAAAGTACAAACAGTCAACTGTCCCAAACCCAACACTAACTGTACACCGACTGGCGCTATCTTATATACAAGTACCCCAAATACCGTCTATGGTGTGCTGACGATTTTACGCATTAATTAGGGTACGGTAAAAAAAACCGGCCCCGGACCCCCTAGTTTTTCTTCCCTTCCCCCCCCCCTTCCCCTCCCTCCCCCCTGCTTTCAGATGTCATCCTGGGAGAGACCCTGATACCCTACGTGTAATTACTGATTGCTACGATTAAGCGAGTATGATGTGCTGCGTAGTACTAGCTAGTACTGCACAAATAGTATCGGAATGCTGCTGTAACATGAGAATAAAATAATAAACAAACCTTTATCTGTTGGCCAAGAAAATAAGCTAATATTCCGGTCTGATATGTTGGAGCATCCGTACGCAACGCACCTCATTGGCATGACCTTCACCGGGGTTGATCCTACGAAATCCTACTGAAACACACAAGTTTACTAAATTCTAATAACTAAATAAATCTACAAAACTCTCGGTTCATGGATATAAGAGCTGTCCCAAATTCATTTTCGCAATGTGCGACATGTCATGTGCAAATGTGCAAATGTGGACAGCTCTTATATCCTTGGGCCCGCTCTAGTCCCAACTCTAGTAATAACCCTAATCAGATTAAATAACTTGAATGGTATTGCTAAGGTGTAATATATGAAGTATATGATTTAGTGCTCTTCATATGCGCCTTCGTGCATCAATGCGTCCGGGACGAGTTGTGGAAGGAGAACAGTTGCGCACGCCGTGACGTCAGACAATTGAGTTTTTCTAATTCTAATTCTGCAGAACGCATACAAAATTCAGCCAGGCATACATCTGACGGCTGCCGGGAACGGTCTTCGATTTCCTATATGCCCGGCAGTTTTTAATTTTTAGCGTTATCTCAAGTAAACAAGGGTTAGGATTAGGGTTAGGGTTAGATATATAGGAACTGCCGGGCATTTAGGAAATCGAAGACCGTGCCCGGCTGCCGGGCATATAGCCACAGCGTACAAAATTGTTTCTAAACTACAATTTGAGCACATGACAATAAATTTATATTGATTATATACATGCGTCTAAAGAGAAGAATTGCTCCGACCTGTGATTGGATGATAAAAATAGACCCCGCCCACTCCCACCGCATACGCTATTATGCTATGACCGGTAGAAACGTGTACTAACTACAAGAGCCGCAGAGCGTCTGGGCTCATCTGAGGTCTGTTGCTACGATTATAAACGTAAAATTTCAGTCGTGCGTAGTACCACATTTGTTAGGCGCAGATATGCAGACACGCAGTTGCGTACACATCATTGAACTTCGTCCTAGCTTTCAAAACTATGGTCTGCCCATATTAGAATATGCTTCGCCAGCCTGGTGCCCCTATAGACTTCAGAACTGCTCTAGATTGGACACCATTCAGCATAAAGCTGCGAGATGGGTCTCCAGAAACTATGATGATAGTACTGATGTTGTCCTGGCTCGTCTTGAATGGCCTCCTTCGTGTCCGCTTTCTTCACTCAAAACTCATAACTTTCTATAAAATTTATCATGGTGAGATGAAAATTGGCATTCCTTCTGGCTTAATGAAGCCTGTTCGCTGCACCCGCTCATCTGAGCGTGATCACTGTTTCGGCATGTACAAACTTCTAAGGATCCTTTAAAGTTTAGCTTCTTTGTCCTCTGTGATTCCGTATTGGAATTCACTGCCTTCATCCTTGTAAATAGCAAATTCACAACTTTTTCCGCTGCGATCCGCAGTGAGGATCTACCGACTTGATCCCACCTCTCTCGATCTTCGTTATAGTCTCCAGGACTTTTGAAGATTATCACTTATGAGGTTATGAGGTTAATAATAATATAATTCATAAAACGTCTGTCGGTACGGACCGGGAGAGCAGTCACTGAGTCAGATTTTAAGGGTTCGGGTGATGCACTAGCCCACTCGCTGAGCTAGCTGCTAGGGCCCGCATACTCCCAAAGTGACGCGTCGTCGACTGACCAATCGCGCAATCGGAGCGCTCGCAGCTCAGGCACTAAAGCTGATAAATATAAAGCTAAACCCTAACCCTAAACCCTAACCCTTACCAGTAACCATCCACTCACGATAGCCAGCTTAAATAATGCAACCACAAAACATTGCATCAGCTTTAGTGCCTGGGTGCAAGCGCGTCACTTTGGGAGGAGCTGCGAGCGCTCCGATTGGTCGGTCGACAACCCGTCACTTTGGGAGGTATGCAGGCCCTAGCTGCGAGTACTAGGCCCCTACTGTCAGCACGAGCTGACAGTCGCGTGAGTCACACAGGTCGTAGACGACGTCATAAATATACTAGCCAATCAAATGTGGTGTACGGTAAAGTAGCAGAAGTGGATAGTCTGCCGTATATAGGGTTAAATATCCACTGCCTAAAAATTTTGAGATCGTGAGTTTTTGAAGATATTGGTAGATGTTCCTCGTTGAGTATTCTCGTTCCTTGTATTGTTACAGCGTAACCTTATTTAGCTTTATTGATTCAAAAACTCGGTCCTGGCTTTTAAACTATGGTTCTGCTCATATTAGAATGTTAACATCCCAGTTGGCCTACTCCCATTTGCCTACACCCATTTCGCCTACGTCCCATTTTGCCTACTCCCATTGTACTCCCACTGTATGTTCCAATTTTGTGTCTCCATTTTTGTCAAGTTGTGTTCTCATTATTTGTACCTATGTTTTCTTCTGGTTCCTGTAGTCTATGTATGCCAATCAAAACCATGTTTTCTTATTTATTAATGATTATTTAGTGAAAAACGAATCGTAGACGAAATGGGAATGGGGTAGATTTTGAGCGTAGACGAATTGAGAGTAGGCGAAATGGGTGTAGGTCAACTGGGAATGTTCCTGTAGGCGAAATGGGATTTGCCGCAGGCGAAATGGAGGCCAACCGGGAATAAACCATTAGAATATGCTTTGCCAGGCTGGTGCCCCTATACACTCGAGAACTGCTCTAAATTTGATGCCATTCAGCATAAAGCTGCGAGATGGGTTTCCAAAAACTATCATGATAGTGTTGATGTTGTTTTGGCTCGGTCTTGATTGGCCTACTCTTCGTGTCCGCTTTCTCCATGCTAAACTCATACTTTCCATAAAATTTATCATGGTCAGGTGAAGATTGGCATTCCCTCTTGCTTAAAGGGAGTTTACTCTAGGTTCTAGGTTTATTTTCAGCTAATTTATGTTATAATTACGCTACATAAAAAGTTTCATGGTTCAATCACCATTAGAAAAAAAAAAAAAAATGTTTTAAAACTAACGACTACAGTTTCATCACAACGACGGTGGCGCCACTCAAAGCGCACGATCTGATAAGTGCGCAGAACCACTTTCCAGCCAAGGGCTACAGACGAGGGTGTTCTTATTTATTCATTTTAAAGCAAAATGATTGTAATATCTTATAAACGACATATAGTTTCAGTTATAATATGGATAAATTTGCCCTAAAATGAATATCGTTCGGTTAAATAGCATTTAGGTATAAATATAATTGCACTTTTGTGATTAGCCCTACTCGGTCTGTAACGTGCAAAATAAATTGTTAAATACGCAACTTTTTCGGGGTGGCAGCACGGTTGCGGCTGTCATGGCGCCGTTTAAATTTCGTAGCGTTGATGTGTAATTATTATAACAATTAAATTAGGTATCTGGTAACAAATAGTGTGGGTATAGACGATTTGTTATACAGTAAGTACAGATGTATGCAGTAAAATCCTAGAGGCTACTGTCCCTTTAATGAAGCCTGTCCGATGCACTCGATCATCTGAGCTTGAGCATTGTTTTCGGCATGTGCCATCTTCTAAGGATCCTTTTAAAAGTTTAGCTTCTTTGTTTCTGTCATTCCTTATTGGAATTCTCTTCCTTCATCATTGGTAAATGATGAACAATTGCAACTTTTTCCACTTCAATCCGCAGTGTTGATCTATCGATTTGATCCACTTCTCCTCCCGTCTATGTTTATAGTCGCGTAGACTTTTGAAGGCTAATTATTTATGAGGTTACGTATATAGGTATTGTGAGAGTCTTCGAGTGTCTGTTGCTGGGGGGTCTATGGATTAGTTGAGTGGGTGTGAGCAGGGATCGCTACCAATCATCCCATTAATCATGATCTTGCAGAGGAAGGCAAGATGCAGGTCCTTCCTATTCTTGGACAATGACTGCCACTTAAAGCGTATATTGCGAGAATTTTCCAGTGTTTTCCACAATTTCATGATACCTACCGTTATTGCTTGAGTAACAGCAATTGTCTAGAGTAACGATAAAATGCCTTGGAACCTTCGTATTCACCAAATCATGCACAATTACAATTTTGCGTTCTGTTTTGTTTACCGTTGCCATCTCTCGAATTTTCTCGCGGTAGCGCGAGACATCTTATCACGGTGCAGCAATGCATACCACGCACCGTAGAAATCAGGTCAGAGTGTAAACACAGACGCTCATACTAGCGTAAACAGCAGTGTAGTACTAATGCCACGTGAAGTCTGTTATTAGAGAAGCTTGTGGATTGCCAGTCAGATAGTAACACGGGAATGACAATGACAGAAAGTGCTATGAATTATTGACATAAAAACTCAATAATATTTACCAAACAGAATTGCACGCCCTTTTGTTTTAATTATG